GCATTGGAGTATGGCCCACATGCACACGGCCACTCGGAATCGACGGGCGTGAAATTAAATAATGCCGCTTTCTGGGCAAACATCTAGTCCCATTTAAATGCGGAAACTGTTGCCGTTCACAGCACACAAATGGCACAAGTGAATTTAACTTGTTTTCCCAACTAACTCCATTCAAATAATCGAAATTGTGGCACAGTTCATTTGGGCGCCATCACTTATCGATTCCATTTATGCTCTTTTGCCACTTGAATGCCACGAATGCATTTGGAAATTAGCCAGAAATTATTCATGACGTCGATATAAATTCCATAGGCCAAATAAAATAGCTGTTTTGACTACTATTCTTGGGGCGGAAAATCGGACTGCACACTTTTACCAAAAACGAAAAATTATCAAAAAGATGAGAGAATAAAAATATTCGATATTTTCTATAGGAATTTTCATCATAACTTCGCGAAAAATGATCAAAAAGATGAATGAATAACATTTTTGAGCAGCTAATTACCAATGCTAACCATCCCTATCAATTTTTGGTGGACCTAGAAAAAAATTTTTTTTTTCGAATTTTTGCTTTTTTTGTAAGGGGTAACATCATCAAAATTTGCAAAAAATGGGAAAAAAATAGAGTTCTCATTTTTAAACACAGTTCGATTGGAAATTTAATTACGAGCTCAACGAGGTATTACATTTCATATTGAGACAATTATTTATAAAGTTGTGGCAAAAAAACTGATTATATTATGACGGAAAATCGGAAAAACGACTTTTGGAAAATATTCGATATTTTCTATAGGAATTTTCAGCATAACTTCGCGAAAAATGATCAAAAAGATGAATGAATAACATTTTTTAGCAGCTAATTACCAATGCTAACCATCCCTATCAATTTTTGGTGGACCTAGAAAAAAATTTTTTTTTTCGAATTTTTGCTTTTTTTGTAAGGGGTAACATCATCAAAATTTGCAAAAAATGGCAAAAAAATAGAGTTCTCATTTTTAAACACAGTTCGATTGGAAATTTAATTACGAGCTCAACGAGGTATTACATTTCATATTGAGACAATTATTTATAAAGTTGTGGCAAAAAAAACTGATTATATTATGACGGAAAATCGGAAAAACGACTTTTGGAAAATATTCGATATTTTCTATAGGAATTTTCATCATAACTTCGCGAAAAATGATCAAAAAGATGAATGAATAACATTTTTTAGCAGCTAATTACCAATGCTAACCATCCCTATCAATTTTTGGTGGACCTAGAAAACAATTTTTTTTTTCGAATTTTTGCTTTTTTTGTAAGGGGTAACATCATCAAAATTTGCAAAAAATGGCAAAAAAATAGAGTTGTAAATTTTGAACACAGTTCGATTGGAAATTTAATTACGAGCTCAACGAGGTATTACATTTCATATTGAGACAATTATTTATAAAGTTGTGGCAAAAAAACTGATTATATTATGACGGAAAATCGGAAAAACGACTTTTGGAAAATATTCGATATTTTCTATAGGAATTTTCATCATAACTTCGCGAAAAATTATCAAAAAGATGAATGAATAACATTTTTGAGCAGCTAATTACCAATGCTAACCATCCCTATCAATTTTTGGTGGACCTAGAAAAAAATTTTTTTTTTCGAATTTTTGCTTTTTTTGTAAGGGGTAACATCATCAAAATTTGCAAAAAATGACAAAAAAATAGAGTTGTAAATTTTGAACACAGTTCGATTGGAAATTTAATTACGAGCTCAACGAGGTATTACATTTCATATTGAGACAATTATTTATAAAGTTGTGTCAAAAAAACTGATTATATTATGACGGAAAATCGGAAAAACGACTTTTGGAAAATATTCGATATTTTCTATAGGAATTTTCATCATAACTTCGCGAAAAATGATCAAAAAGATGAATGAATAACATTTTTGAGCAGCTAATTACCAATGCTAGCCATCCCTATCAATTTTTGGTGGACCTAGAAAAAAATTTTTTTTTTCGAATTTTTACTTTTTTTGTAAGGGGTAACATCATCAAAATTTGCAAAAAATGGCAAAAAAATAGAGTTGTAAATTTTGAACACAGTTCGATTGGAAATTTAATTACGAGCTCAACGAGGTATTACATTTCATATTGAGACAATTATTTATAAAGTTGTGGCAAAAAAACTGATTATTTTATGACGAAAAATCCGAAAAACGACTTTTGCCAAATATTCGATATTTTCTATAGGAATTTTCATCATAACTTCGCAAAAAATTATCAAAAAGATGAATGAATAACATTTTTGAGCAGCTAATTACCAATGCTAACCATCCCTATCAATTTTTGGTGGACCTAGAAAAAAAAATTTTTTTTCGAATTTTTGCTTTTTTTGTAAGGGGTAACATCATCAAAATTTGCAAAAAATGGCAAAAAAATAGAGTTCTCATTTTTGAACACAGTTCGATTGAAAATTTAATTACGAGCTCAACGAGGTATTACATTTCATATTGAGACAATTATTTATAAAGTTGTGGCAAAAAAACTGATTATATTATGACGGAAAATCCGAAAAACGACTTTTGCCAAATATTCGATATTTTCTATAGGAATTTTCAGCATAACTTCGCGAAAAATGATCAAAAAGATGAATGAATAACATTTTTGAGCAGCTAATTACCAATGCTAACCATCCCTATCAATTTTTGGTGGACCTAGAAAAAAATTTTTTTTTTCGAATTTTTGCTTTTTTTGTAAGGGGTAACATCATCAAAATTTGCAAAAAATGGCAAAAAAATAGAGTTGTAAATTTTGAACACAGTTCGATTGGAAATTTAATTACGAGCTCAACGAGGTATTACATTTCATATTGAGACAATTATTTATAAAGTTGTGGCAAAAAAACTGATTATATTATGACGGAAAATCGGAAAAACGACTTTTGGAAAATATTCGATATTTTCTATAGGAATTTTCATCATAACTTCGCGAAAAATGATCAAAAAGATGAATGAATAACATTTTTGAGCAGCTAATTACCAATGCTAGCCATCCCTATCAATTTTTGGTGGACCTAGAAAAAAATTTTTTTTTTCGAATTTTTACTTTTTTTGTAAGGGGTAACATCATCAAAATTTGCAAAAAATGGCAAAAAAATAGAGTTCTCATTTTTGAACACAGTTCGATTGAAAATTTAATTACGAGCTCAACGAGGTATTACATTTCATATTGAGACAATTATTTATAAAGTTGTGGCAAAAAAACTGATTATATTATGACGGAAAATCCGAAAAACGACTTTTGCCAAATATTCGATATTTTCTATAGGAATTTTCATCATAACTTCGCAAAAAATTATCAAAAAGATGAATGAATAACATTTTTGAGCAGCTAATTACCAATGCTAACCATCCCTATCAATTTTTGGTGGACCTAGAAAAAAATTTTTTTTTTCGAATTTTTGCTTTTTTTGTAAGGGGTAACATCATCAAAATTTGCAAAAAATGGCAAAAAAATAGAGTTGTAAATTTTGAACACAGTTCAATTGGAAATTTAATTACGAGCTCAACAAGGTATTACATTTCAAATTGAGACAATTATTTATAAAGTTGTGGCAAAAAAACTGATTATATTATGACGGAAAATCCGAAAAACGACTTTTGCCTAATATTCGATATTTTCTATAGGAATTTTCATCATAACTTCGCAAAAAATTATCAAAAAGATGAATGAATAACATTTTTGAGCAGCTAATTACCAATGCTAACCATCCCTATCAATTTTTGGTGGACCTAGAAAAAAATTTTTTTTTTCGAATTTTTGCTTTTTTTGTAAGGGGTAACATCATCAAAATTTGCAAAAAATGGCAAAAAAATAGAGTTGTAAATTTTGAACACAGTTCAATTGGCAATTTAATTACGAGCTCAACAAGGTATTACATTTCAAATTGAGACAATTATTTATAAAGTTGTGGCAAAAAAACTGATTATTTTATGACGGAAAATCCGAAAAACGACTTTTGCCAAATATTCGATATTTTCTATAGGAATTTTCATCATAACTTCGCAAAAAATTATCAAAAAGATGAATGAATAACATTTTTGAGCAGCTAATTACCAATGCTAACCATCCCTATCAATTTTTGGTGGACCTAGAAAAAAATTTTTTTTTTCGAATTTTTGCTTTTTTTGTAAGGGGTAACATCATCAAAATTTGCAAAAAATGGCAAAAAAATAGAGTTGTAAATTTTGAACACAGTTCAATTGGCAATTTAATTACGAGCTCAACAAGGTATTACATTTCAAATTGAGACAATTATTTATAAAGTTGTGGCAAAAAAACTGATTATTTTATGACGGAAAATCCGAAAAACGACTTTTGCCAAATATTCGATATTTTCTATAGGAATTTTCATCATAACTTCGCAAAAAATTATCAAAAAGATGAATGAATAACATTTTTGAGCAGCTAATTACCAATGCTAACCATCCCTATCAATTTTTGGTGGACCTAGAAAAAAATTTTTTTTTTCGAATTTTTGCTTTTTTTGTAAGGGGTAACATCATCAAAATTTGCAAAAAATGGGAAAAAAATAGAGTTCTCATTTTTGAACACAGTTCGATTGAAAATTTAATTACGAGCTCAACGATTCATATTGAGACAATTATTTATAAAGTTGTGGCAAAAAAACTGATTATTTTATGACGGAAAATCCGAAAAACGACTTTTGCCAAATATTCGATATTTTTTTCTTTTTTTTTTTAATGGGTAAATTTGCGAAAATTGACAAAAAAATAAAATTGTCAAATTTGAATCCAAATCGATTGGGGATGTAGTTACGAGCTTAACGAGGTAAGACATTCCACATTTCAGCTAGTTGTGCCATTGTTATGGCCTAAATACTGATTATTTTCCTTGGGAAAAGTAGGAAAAGGTCCTTTTTCCCACAAGTTACGGACCAAGACAAATGGAAGCAGTAGAGCATGGATAGAACTTATTCAAACGAAAGTAGTTACTTGCTTGTGACTGAATTATTTTATTTGTACGGGACTAACATAGGCAAGAAAGTTGGAAGAAGTTGGGCAAAAAAAATTGTATGTAAAAGCTGGTCAGTGCCAGGATTCAAGTCGGGATCCTCGTGTGGAGCCACTTTTAGTCCTTGATGATGATGGGCCTGGTGCGACAGCGACGGATGCCACCGCCCACGACATTGTCCTGGCAGCTCCACTTGGTGGCCCTCACCCACTGGTTGAGTGGATTGCGGACGCAGTTCCTCCTCTGGGCCTCGCAGCGGCTCTGCAAGATGCAGGCGCCCTGCTGGTCCCTCCAGCAGCTGACCAGCTTGTCGTCCAGGCAGGGCTTCCTCTGGCACTCCTTGATGCGCTTACTATCGACCTGGGGACGAGGACGCAGCCTGGTGGCGCACTGGCCCACGCCGCTGGTGCCGGGTATGTTGCGGCAGCGGGTGATGCACGTCTCCCGGATGGGCTCCAGTCCACTGTCGCGCCGGCGGCAATTCTTCTCCCGCAGACGACAGGCCGGCAGGCGGGTGCACACGTTGGTGGCCTTGTTGCGGATGCACACGCTCTTTTCGGTGGTCAGTCCGGTGCAGCGACCCACACAAGGACGCCGATTGCCATCAGCCTGGATGAAGGCGATGGCCAGGACGACGAGGAGTAGGCAAATGCTGAACTTGCTCATGATTTCTCTGGCGGATCTGGAGATCTTTGCTGCTGTCAACTGTTGCTGGTTGATTGATACTTTTCCGTTGGCCAGGCCGAGTATATATAGCAGCGTGGGTTGGCCATATTTTGGGAACGCCATCTGTTCCCTTGTTTGCCGTGGTTTTTGTTTCCATTGAATGCGGGTGTTTTATTCACGCTTTATTGGGGTAATCTTCGTATTGATAAATCCGTCCTTTGAATTTTTAGCTATCTTATAACTATGTTCAGCTTTTTGAACATTTTTCCACAGATTTACGTAGTTTGTATTGCATTCCTTCAGCGAAGCGTTGCAAACCCACTCTAATGTCTTTGGTAAATGAAGGTAAAATGAAGGTTGATCACCATCTAGAAAATGTTGTAATTATAATACCTAATTACTTACAAGTGCGTTCAGCATAGGCGCATGTTGTTGAAATAGGTACATCATTCCAGAATCAAGACTCCAGAGACATGTTTTTCTGGAGTAGCAGCTGCAACTGCGCCGGGTAAACGGCTCTTGATAATTATTGATTAAATATTTGAACAAAAGCCGCAGCGACGCGTGCCAAGAGAGAATTGTATTGGATTTGCTTCCACGTAGTGTCATGCCGGCTCATTGGTGGTATAAATACTGGTGACTCTTGGCTGGAATGGCATCAGAAGTTCTGCAACGCCAAGCAATTAAGCAAAATGCACACTCACCAACTGACGTTGATTTTCGGTAGGCAACTAACGCACACTATGCAAGGCACTTCCAAAATCCAAGTTCCTCCCACCAGGCATGGCGCTCCTGTGGACACTGGCCAGCGGCACCACCCAACCGCCGAGCAGCAGCCGTCCGCCGGTCACCACCGTGCGCTCCACGCCCAGGAACTGCCCGCTCTTCCCGCCGGTCTGCTCCAAGAGCAGTCCCCGGGTCTGCGGACGGACTCCGCGCGGCGAGTGCCAGCGCTTCGAGAACATCTGCCACCTGCTGCTGGCCAATGGGCAGCGGCAGCCGGAGGGCGTGCGGCACACCCGCGACATCGACTGCCGCAACGTGAAGGGCACCGGCGCCGCCAACCGGCGGCCCTGCTACAATCCCTGCCCCGCTCGGCCCGTCGTCTGCCAGAGGTCGCCGCCCAGCCAGCACATCTGCGTGCGGAGCAGGAACAGCCGGCAGTGCAAGGTGCTGGCCAACAGCTGCCAGCTGCGCAACCAGAACTGCCACAGCCAGCCCAGGAACAGTGAGTACTCGCTGCCGCACTTGGCCGCTGCACCCACAGTTCCTTAACTCCACATGCCATTCCTTATTCCAGACTGGCTCCGCACCGATAGGCGTCGTTGTGGCCGGCTGCAGCTGGGCGATAAGCCGCAGGGCTGCCTCCGGGTGCAGGTCCGGCCCACTCGGCGCACCACCACTCGGCGCAGCACCACTGGACGCACCACCACCCGGTCGGCCTAAAGGATCACGCACAACGGCAGCCACGCATTTATATTTTTTTTTCCCCCACCCAACAGCCACCGTGCGCAATAAAAGTCATACATAAGCTGCAAGCCTCGTTTTAAATCCGCTTTTGCTTTCAGCTGATGGGGGCACATGCTTGTAAGTAGAATCTCAGATCCGCACAGACTTTCTGTAAGTCTAAACCGGCGTTTAACTTGGTCCAAACTTCGAGTTGGAAAAGGTGCAGCCTTCGCCAGATGAACTTAAGCAAATTGCAGCTGCATGGGGACCACTTTGCTGGGCATAATTGATACCGCCGAAATTGGAAAACAGGGTAGGATTACAAGACGAGTTGCTCGTCATCCTACACGCAAAACTTGTACTTTACTTTGCGTTTCGTCTCGATTGCATGCCTCTTTGATCGTTGTATTTCAGGTATAATTAACTGTTCAATGTCCTTTGGCAAAATGGCAAAATCCCCGCTAATGACCATTCGAGTTTCCCAGTTCCCAGTTCCCCACTTGGCCTACTATGTGTTTGCCATTGCCCAGACAACGGTGCCGGGAGTGGAGCAGAAGTTGGCCAAGAAGCCCAAGTAATAAGAACTCGAATTACAATTGCCGAGCTCCACGTTGTTTCGTATGAAATTCCTGCGTGTCCAACTTTCTGGCGAGCCCTAATTAATTGATAGATGGCCGGCCAAATTGACTGAAATTGCACATTCAAGTTGCTGCCTGCGCTTCTGTTTCCATTGCGGGCAAACTTTATTGAATTACACACATTACGCATACGCAGCGTTGGCCAAGTTCGGCAAGGCAACTAGCCAAACTTGTCGCGAACTACACTCGCGGAACTTTTGATCTAATTAAACGCCGCGGAGTGCTAATCAAACCGAATTCAAATTCAAATCAAACAAATCTAGTTGTTTCCTTGGCTTTTTGCTTGGCCACAGCCTTAAGGTTCTTAATGAAAGGTGCTGGTCGTTGGCACTGCCATGAAATAGTGGGTATTAAATATTTAAATATTTGTAAGTAATGCTTACTAGCACATTTGCACTGTTTAATTGAAATCAACATCGCTTGCACACAAGTAAGAACCATCCGAATTGTAAGTTTGCAATTATTACAAATGCTTGGCTGCCAGTCTGATTATTTTTCCAAAAAACAGTTCTGAGCTCTGTGCCACTTGAGCTAACTTTGTTTTGCCAGCCATTGTTTTCCCCAAGTTGTCGTATATTTTCCGACTCGATTCAGTGTTATTGCCATCACTTTCGCCTGGTATCCCGCTCTCATTTTTGGCTGCCACTTCGCTTTTCCATTTGATTCCATTTTGTGGTCTCGAAATTTATGACAATCATCTACATCTGTTGAACATTGGCCGACGGCAGAACCGTTTGTCATTTCGGGTCGGCTTAATGAATGCGAATGAATGCCAAATGTTGAGTCAACATTTCGGCCACGCCCCCACGTATGTGTGTGTGTGTATGTGTGTCCAGCTAATTTGAGAACCCGGCGAGGTTATTAAAGCTAATTGCGTTGATTCATAAATTAGAAACACCTTTGATTGCGGGTTCGTGACTCTATCCACTATTTCCACCATATCCAGCTGAATATCTGTCGTTCGGGGTGCTGGTTGCTAATGACTGGCCACTCGGGGTGTCCAGATATTTGGAGACATTCACCCCCAAGCGCGGGCACTGAGCGAAAAAATTGTAGATTATAAATAGTAGTTCCATGTGCTCTGCTATGTCGAATAGAAACTGACTTCCGCCAAATAATCGCCCGCTGTGTAAGCTGATTTCTCCCAGTGCTGGCGTAAATGAAGTCCTTAATTTATGACCCCTCTGAAAAGAGCGGCGCATAATTTGCCACTTGACCTGCCACACGTGAACTCCTATTTTTTGGCTGGAATTGGGCGCTAAGTGCAGAGTCATCGCTTGACACTCTCTGTGCGGAATGTCGATAGTCATGGCCGGTCTATTTGGGGACTACTTAAGGATGATGAATGGCAATGATTACACCTGCTCCCATCAACTGCTCCCGATTTGTGGGGTGCAGGCAATGCAACTTGTGTAATGGTTCAGCACAAGCAAGCACAGTGGTTTTCTAAGAAATTGTACAATTGAAGCGCATAAAGCTCACAAGATTGGTCAGCGGTGGAGCTTTAAAGGTCACAAATTGGACTAACCATAAACATAAACTAAACACACTGGTGTGGTTAGCAAATTGAATAAGGCGCTGCGTCTGTGGGCAAATACGACGATTAATTGCTTGTGGAAGGACAACTCGAGCACCGCAGACCATGGAGATTGCGGTCAATCTAGTTACCGGCATTCAGTTCCAACTGCAGTGGAATTCGGCACCAACGAGGTTTGCACGATTTTTTACTCAAAATTATCAAGAATGTTGCTTAAACTAGCTTGGCCGGAAATAGCTAAAAAGCAGACGCTTCTACTTCCGGCTGCCTAATAGTTTGGAACAAAACCAATCAATGGCTTGCGTCTGCACATTGCGGGTGTGCATAAATTATAATGAAAATTAATTAGCGATTGTCTGGATAGCCTAATTGCCTTTGATAATTCGCAGCCATCCATCGATACTCGGGCATTACGATGGGCTTACCCCAGCGCAGCTCATCTCCCAGATATACGATATAAGTGGGCGGGGCTATGGGCTAAGGATGTGGAATATGGGATGTGGCATATGGGGCATGGGGCAAGGGGCGTGGGGCGTGGAATGGCGTAGTAGAGGCGACTTAGACAGACATAAGCCACACGCAGCATTAAATTGGCATTAGGTCAGGCCAGTGGACCAGCAGGCCTGCTCCGTTCTGGCCAAAATCGGACTGAACTCGACTTGTTTTGCCGTTTTTGCTCTTGCCACGACCAGCAACCAGACATCCGAGGGGCAAGAGTTTTTGTTTTGGGGCGGCAAGGGGGCTGGGTGCACAACATGCCACATGGTTGCTTTGACTTTTATTTATTTTGTTAGACGCATTTTGAAAAGCCAATAAGCAGCTTTCTGATTGATTATCTGCTGCCCGCTCATTGTCTCCGTGTTGATTTTAGCTCCAGAGCACACGCTCCGGCACAGTGGGGCCTCGCTAAGAGGTTCCGGCTGCTGTCTCTCTGGCACAAGCAAAAGCTAATTGATTCGCCAACGGAGGGCCCACTGTAGCTCCTTTATGCGTATTTGTGTGGAAGGCGCCAATCAATTTTGAGTGAAATAAATGAGGCTTATGCCGCCCTTCGGGCCGCAAAAAGGCTTAAAATTGTAAATTCCTTGCAGACACATATTACCGTATCGCCTGTTATAAATTGCTGCTATCTCATCTGAAAACCTGAGTTGGGTCGCTCGCAGGTTCCTGAATTCAGATCAGATTGCCCGTCCTCGTCAGCCACTCGTCCTCGTCGAACACTTGCGAAAAGTTGCCGAAAATCCCATGACTTTGATGAAAACTTTCAAGTGCACTGGCATTTTGCCGACAGTTTTCCTCCCCAGCCCTTTGGCCTTTTCGCTACGAAATATTTAGGCACTTAGCCAGCTCCAGCCACGCTTTTGGCCAAAGTGCATTAAATATGAATGAGCTAGTTTCGCCACCCTATTTTCGGGATACCCTGCGCACTAAACCCTTTTTGGTGGCTCCTGAAAGTTGCGGTTTCCATGTGTGCCTTGCAGTTTTCCAAATGCAAAATGCAAAGTGTTTTCCAGCGCCGAACTTTTCCAAATACGTCGTCGTGTGCTGCATCCCAAGATTTTACTGCTGTGTTGTAAAATATAATGCAAACGTATTATGCACAAGCCATTAACTCTTTGAGTTGACAGCCAGCAAGCTGAGTTTCGCTTACTAACTAAAGCTAATCTTTCAGAGATTGTTCTGGTCGAAGGTTTTCCTGGAATTCCACGATGCGCTGATGAGCGATGAGTGATTGCGATCCGTAGAGATAAGCCTCTGAGTTTGTTGATTGCTTAACATCGGGCAACGCATTTAGTCATGCATTTCAAACGCAGATTGGTGGTGCTCATCGCAGGTTTGCTCCTAGGTCAGGTGAAGTCGCATCCGCAAGCTGATCCCTGCCAGAATTTCTATGAGGTGGCCTGCGGCAATTGGTCCTCCACTGAGGCGACCAGTTTACTGGGCCAGCTTGACTACAACTACCAGGAAAAGTTGGCCGACTTGCTGGATACTGAGTAACTTGCAAAGGATTATTTCGGGAAATTTGAACTGAATTGAGTCTATTACAGAGAAAAGGACGATGAGCCACGTTTTCTGCAGCAGCTCAGATACTTTTACGCCGCCTGCCGACGTCCTTTGACCCAGGATCAGGTTCTGCGGACCCTGGAACAGCTGATCGTACTAGCGGATATCCAATTTGAAGAGCTGACGGTGGGCCTGACTGCCGCCTTCCGTCTGGAAGTGCTCGCAGATATAAATTCCGACAATAAGCATGAAATATGGAAGCAGCTGCTGTCCCGCCGGAAGGATTGGGATACAAATACGACGAACAGGGAGCCCTTAACTCGGGACAAGTTCGATGAGTTATGGGCCAGCCTGCCAAAAAAACGCTCTGCGGACAAGGACCTCTTTTGGTACCAGGTGAGCACGCTGGAAGACGAAATAATGAGCTTTGGCAGGGAGGACGATGGACTTCCTAGCGATGATCTGGTTACCTGGACACCAACCTCTTGGATGCTGCCCTGGCCACATCGGAATCTAACCTACCGAAATCTCTACCAAGTGGCTTATCTGCTAAAGATACAAACCCCTGGCTTTATGCTCACATATATCTATCTGAGACTGAGGCTGGTCCCGGAAGGACGCTCCAGGGAATCCTGGCTCATAGACCGCGACGAGTGCGCCGAGCAGTCCCGCCAGATCCTCAGTCATCCCGCTGCGTGGTTGATGGAGAAGAACCATCCCAGGCTCCAGGAGGAGCCAGTGCTGCAGAACATTTTCGAGGAGCTGAAGCAGCGCTTTGGCCAGAAGCTCCGGGCGAACAGGAATAACTTCACCCGCCGCACACAGCGCCACCTAATGAGCAAGTTGAAGAGAATGCGTCTGCGACTGAGCATCCTGCCCAGAAACTCCTCGGCACAGTACATGGTGCGACGCATCGATTGGCACTACAGGGATGTTCGCATGAATGCCAGTGATTACTTTGGCAATCTGTACATCGGACTCAACCACTCAAGGCCGCAGCTGGAGAACAGCTTGTGGAGCGTGGTCTTCGGCCGCACGTTGATGCCAAGCCGGAGCTCCAGGAGCGACTTGTACCCCATTCAAGGTAACTATGGCACCTTTGCCTCGCCGTTCTACATAACCCAGCAGAATATACTGATTGTGCCGCTTTCGCTCCTGGAACCGCCGCTCTACTCACCTGGGCAGCCGCCATTACTAACCTACAGTTCCCTGGGCTTTATACTGGGTCACGAGCTGTCCCACGGCTTCGATTCCGAGGGTGTGACCTTCTCCGCCAACGGAATGATGAGTCGCACCGTGAACAGGGAGATCGAAGGGAACACGCGGCTGCAGCACGAGTTCCGTTGTCTGTACAGGAAATTCGGGAGCAGATGGTATGAGAAGTTCGCGGACGCCAGTGGCCTGGAACTGGCCTACTCCGCCTACTTTGACATCGCACAAACGGATCGGAAGCGGAATCGAAGTACCGAGCACTTGGTGACCCAGAAGCAGCAGTTCTTTCTCAACTTTGCCCAGTTCTTCTGCTCTGATGAGGACTATGAGCAGCTCTTGGAGCAGAGCGCTTATGGCAGCGATCGGAAGAGGGTCAACGATGCCGTTGCCCACTTCAAGCCGTTTCAGGAGGCCTTCTCCTGCGGCACCTCGCACAGGCGGAGGCAATGCCGATTGTTTTGACGGATTGCACGCCCAAATAAATGACCATTTATTTCCCTAATATACTCACGAATGCTTACTCAATGCGGCCAAGATTACACTCGGAGAAAAACGCAACTGTGTGACATTTAATTAGTTTATTTATTCATTATTGGATCCACCCGACGAAAATATATGTACAAAATCAGGTCGTAATCGTAATCAGAAAGCGGAAGCGGAAGCGGAAACGGAAACGGAAACGGGAACCGAATCTGTTGCCACCAATACCAAGACATATAAATAGTTAACACATTCCATTCAGACAGACAACTTTCAGCTATAGTTATGGTTATAGTTCATAGTTGTGTAGTTGCAATTTAAGTTGTAGTATCCTTAGTAGCCTTAGCCGTAGTTGTAGTTGCTTAGTCACCTAGCTTGTGTACACTGAAAACATTTAAACCGGAAACTGCAATTGTAACTGTAAGTTGCGTGTACACATATCAACATTGTATTACAATTGTTTACGCTGTTGCTTACACTAGAAAAAAAACGTACGCGTAGCCTAGAACATTGAGTTGAAATTCGTTACGACTGATTTGTTATGTTACTATGTTGTATTCCGTATTCCTAACTTTCATTTAAATCGGTAAACTCTGGGGCTCAAAAGGTTTACGAATTTAAACGAGTTTGCATCCTACAGCTAACTACGCTAACGAACCCTAGTTAGAATACAAAAATATTTTACAAATGGGCGCACAAAAAGTTGCTCTCAAATAAACACTTTTAACCAGGCCTTGTTTCAAAATTTCGTAAATACCCTAGAAGCTAACATTAATCGTCAATACTATCGATTATTTCGATTAATTCAGTTACGCCTTTCAATCCGATAGTTGTGACTTGAGTTTCCTGTAAGTATTTCTCCTAACTTTACTGTAGTATTATGTTATTGTTGTTACCCACACATTACCGCACCACTCTCCCCTGCCACTATCACTTCCTAAAAGTTTCCCGCATCTCTTAGACTTAGACATACACTCCTAGCCGTAAAAATAGCATATACTCGTACATATAATGGGCTTAAGCGCTAACATGTAATCTGAATATGACATCAACGCACAGAGAAATACACACAGATTCGAATGGAGAAACTTGTGTCTTATTCGGGGGAACATGAACAGACACTTAGAGTTCGGTATGGGTGTTATTCGGTGTTATACCCTAAGATATCTATTTCTTAACGCTTTTAAACTGCCTATAGTTATTTTAAAAGTGAAAATCCATCTATTACAAAATCCATCAAAATGACTGCAACTTTCGCAATACTCTATTCATTTTAGTTATTCTGATATTGATATTAGTTGAACCTGTGTACCTATGTAGTTTTCTCCTGAAACCTTACTTCTTAGCTCTGTTCTAAAAACCAATGGGTGTACTGGAGTGGTTTGATTTTTTGGTTTTTGCTTGGTTAGTTGCAATTGCAAGTTCTGAAAAAAAAAATTCTCAAAAAAAAATGAGACCATTAACGAATAAAGAATTGTATTTTAAATTGCGCCCTCTGCGGACAGCCGGTTATTTTCAACAGGACATGGGATCTCCAATTTACCGATCTCCAAATTGTCCGATAGCCGTACCCAATCGATTCCGAACCCAGTCTACACAATCCGCTCCTCGGTGATGATGTCCATGGTGCTGACCCGCCGCTGCTGACTGGACTGCGAGTGGGTCTGCAGGTGGTGCGTTACCAGATGTTGGTGCTGCGCTGAGGCCTCACCACCGATGATCATTGAGCCACCAATGGTCTTGGTGGTGGTGGTGCTGGTGGAGCTGCGACGATGGTCGCTGCTGCCCCGCCGCGGCACCAACATCACCAATTACTAGAGGACCGTCTCGTTGGTGTTGGTGCAGGTGCGGGCGCCATTGACGATCGAGTATTTGGTGGAGCTGTCCTTCTTGGCCATCAGCCGGCCCAGGAATATCTCCTTGAAGGTCTCCCGAAACTGGCGCGACATGCCGCAGTAGATGCCAAAGTTAATCGGGTAGCTGAACACCAGGAAGAAGTTCGTCAGCATGATGCAAATGTTGGCCAGGCCGTAGTCCAGGAACTCGATGATCAGGCTGCTGACGATGTGCATCGCGGTGACCACGGCAATGGGTATCTCGGCCAGAAGGAACACCGACACCACCACGATGAGCATCAGCGTGGTGCAGTTGGTCTCCCTCAGCTTCTTGCACTCCTTCTTCCGGTTCTCCCGGAACAGCAGCTTCCGGCGCTCCTGCGCCTGCCGCATCGCCGCGAATAGCAGAATGTTCAGAGTCACCAGGATGATGCAGGGCAGCAGGTGGACGAACAGCACCCGGAACAGATAGTAGCTCGTGTAGTACAGGTCCACCCCAATGTAGTCGTGCACCCACAGCGCCGTCTCCAGGTGGCACACCTCCGTTGGGCTACCATTCCACTCGATTACCAGCGGCATGTACGTCCTGTCGAAGAACCTGGGCAATTGGTGCAGGAACGCCAGCAGGGCGATGTATGCAGTGCACCGCCTCACCCGCGGCATCGTGCACCATGTCCGGGCCATGGGGGCGTGGCAAACGTAGATGTATCTGGGGAGTAAGGATTGAAGAACGGATTAAGATATCAGATATCGAGCAATGTGCATGATGCGAAACTGGTGGCACGAAAAACTGTGTTCAAGGGGGCTTCTAATAATTACTCCCTAGAGAATTAAAATTTGCAAAAATTGGAAAAAAATTAAGCTTTACAAATTTGAATACAGAGCGATTGGGAATTTAATAACGAGCTCAACGAGGTGTAACATTTCATATTCAGACAATTATTTTTAAAGTTGTGGCAAAAAAACTGATTATTTTATGACGGAAAATCCAAAAAACGGCTTTTGGCAAATATTCAATATTTTCTATAGGAATTTTCATCATAACTTTGCGAAAAATGATCAAAATGATGAATGAATAACATTTTTGAGCAGCTAATTACCAATGCTAACTATCCCTATCACTTTTGGATGGACCTAGAAAAAAATTTTTTTTTTCGAATTTTTGCGTTTTTTGTAAGGGGTAACATCATCAAAATTTGCAAAAAATGGCTAAAAAATTGAGTTCCCATTTTTGAACACAGTTCGATTGGAAATTTAATTACGAATTCAACGAGGTATTACATTTCATATTCAGACAATTATTTTTAAAGTTATGGCAAAAAAACTGATTATTTTATGACGGAAAATCCAAAAAAGGGCTTTTGGCAAATATTCAATATTTTCTATAGGGATTTTCATCAAAACTTCGCGAAAAATTATCGGAAAGATGAAAGAATAACATTTTTGAACAGCTAATTACCAATGCTAACCATCCCTATCACTTTTTGGTGGACCTAGAAAAAAAATTTTTTTTTCGAATTTTTGCGTTTTTTGTAAGGGGTAACATCATCAAAATTTGCAAAAAATGGCTAAAAAATTGAGTTCCCATTTTTTAACACAGTTCGATTGGAAATTTAATTACGAGCTCAACGAGGTAATACATTTCATATTCAGACAATTATTTTTAAAGTAGTGGCAAAAAAACTGATTATTTTATGACGGAAAATGCTTTTGGCAAATATTCAATATTTTCTATAGGAATTTTCATCATAACTTCGCGAAAAATTATCGAAAAGATGAAAGAATAACATTTTTGAGCAGCTAATTACCAATGCTAACCATCCCTATCACTTTTTGGTGGACCTAGAAAAAAATTTTTTTTTTCGAATTTTTGCGTTTTTTGTAAGGGGTAACATCATCAAAATTTGCAAAAAATGGCTAAAAAATTGAGTTCCCATTTTTGAACACAGTTCGATTGGAAATTTAATTACGAGCTCAGCGAGGTATTACATTTCATATTCAGACAATTATTTTTAAAGTTGTGGCAAAAAAACTGATTATTTTATGACGGAAAATCCAAAAAAGGGCTTTTGGCAAATATTCAATATTTTCTATAGGAATTTTCATCATAACTTCGCGAAAAATTATCAAAAAGATGAATGAATAACATTTTTGAGCAGCTAATTACCAATGCTAACTATCCCTATCAATTTTTGGTGGACCTAGAAAAAAATTTTTTTTTTCGAATTTTTGCTTTTTTTGTAAGGGGTAACATCATCAAAATTTGCAAAAAATGGCTAAAAAATTGAGTTCCCATTTTTGAACACAGTTCGATTGGAAATTTAATTACGAATTCAACGAGGTATTACATTTCATATTCAGACAATTATTTTGAAAGTTGTGGTCAAAAAACGGATTATTTTATGACGGGAAATCCGAAAAACGACTTTTGCATCATCAAAATTTGCAAAAAATGGGAAAAAAATAGTGTTCCAATTTTTGAACACAGTTCGATTGAAAATTTAATTACGAATTCAACGAGGTATTACATTTCATATTCAGACAATTATTTTCAGAGATGTGGCTAAAAAACTGATATTTTATGAAGGAAATTCGGAAATACCGCTTTTGTTCAACCAATCGAGTGCGAATTGGTGTGCGTTTTGCTTACAAACCAAAAGTAAAGTATCCAAACAGAGGGCAATGCCTATAGCTATTAAACTGCAATGGACTTATCTGATGGGCATTATTTGCCGACTTGAATAATGCGACTTTTATCAAAAGCCGCCGCTGCCAGCGATCCTGTCAGGCATTAAGACCTGGTAACGAGCTCGAGCGTCTTAAACGCATTTGCCTAATATAATTTTATGGCAACGTCAACGGCAGATAAACCAATTTCCCCAGGTGAGAATTTACGATGGCAATGTGGTGACAACGAATTGGCCAAATCCTAATTTCAGCCACGACTCTGCCGCCCCGCTGGGAAAAAAAGCGAGGGGAGGAGCAATCAAAAGGCATCTGAAAAGCTAATCAAGTTGGCGCTTTGTAATTTCATAATTTGAGTAATTTGTCAGGTTTCGCGTCCTGTCAAAGAATAAATTTGTTTCCTGTGAGGATTTGGGCCAAGTTGGCCGCTTTATAGTTGGCCTCCAAAATACCACCCATCGCCCCTTTAATTTTCCAATCCAAGAAGCGAACGAACTTTGATGGTGGAATGATTATTGGTGGGGGGATGGGATTGGTGTCGAAGGTCCTTGGTATTGGTCTAATTTATGCGCATAATTATGGCAACGCCCACTGCGCTGGCACTTGAAAATGCGTTTCAATCAATCTTTCATTGAACCTTTGTCAAGCGGAGATTTCATTAAAGTTGAAAGCAACAGAGATGCTAACAAAAACGACGAGCTCCAAGGACGAAGGACGACAGCGATTGCCAGGCGTTTAGTCCGCAATGGAATTGATATTAATAAATGAATAACATTTAGCTGGCTTATGTTGTTCTTGGCCCCGCCTCCCCCATTCTCTATGTCATCTTAACAATTTAGTTAATTTTCCCTAAAAGGATGCCCCCAACAAAAGCGGGAACAAAAACCCCGAAGAAACAACCCTCAAACCTTAACCCATTTCGGAATATAAAACGACACAATAAATCAATCAGGGGAAACATTTCGAAAGAGAGCTGAACGATATCTGCCATGGGAATCTGCTGCAGATGAAAATGTTACGCCCAGGATAAATACTTTTAAAGAACAAAGGATATGCCTTTTGTTCGTGGGATTACCCCTTTGAGAGGAAGATTTTATTGTGATTGCAAAGTGGCTTCCACTTCCACTTCCACTTCCACTTCGAACAAATGGTCGAAAAAGTGCTGTAAAGCTGCTGCCACTCTTTAAAGCACGAATATATGCTCAAGCCTTCTATTTCCGCTTCGTATTTAATAGGTGATGATGATTTATAATATATTCTCAATTTAATCAGCACTGATTGCTGCACTTTAGCCCGTGGATACCTGAAATCTCTAGCTGTTCAAGCGCCCTTTGCAAAAGTATGCCAATAGGCCTCTTACTCAATAGGCCCGGAAAATAAAACAAAACAGGTACTGTTTCATACACTTTTGTTCTATGAAATTGTTATGGAGAGTGTCACTCACTCAGTTGGCACTTTCCCGCTTCCCACTTTGCCCCACTTGGCCCCACTGTGCCCCTCTGCGCCCATCAGTAAGCGCCATAAAAACACTTGAAATACAATAAGTTGACAACAGGCACAGCAACAGCAAAAATAACAATAAACGCTGAATGTTTTTATCGCGCTATTTGTCCTCGGGCAATTTTCAACGCATTTTAGAGTGAGTCCCACTGCCCCGCTGCCCGCTGCCCCTGGCCGCCGATCCTTTTGTCATATGCACATACATACATACATGTATTATTTAGCTATTTGGCGGTACACAACCCATCCACCACCCCACTTGGCTGCAAGCACTTGAAAACGGCCCAAAGTCGCATAATGGCCCAAATATTTATGGCTATTTTTTTCGGTGGCACTTGGGGCACCACTCCACTTGCAAATTTATTTGAAAAGCTGTAAAATTTATGATCCCACACATGAGTTAATAGAACAAAGGGCCAGACCGACCGCCACATCAGGCTCAGACTTTCGGCGGACTCTTGAAGCCAACATCATACGAAGACAGGGTGAAATTTATGTTACCCATGCGAAATTAGTTTATTGTTCACATTAGTGGTTTACTGTAGGAGCTCGGTGGCTGAAACAGTGCGGTTTTAAAGGCCAATGCATTGTGGTGTGATGTTACGGCGAATCGATTGATTGTGCCGCTGTCGGCCGAAAGTATAACTCGCATCACTTACACGCATCACTCATACGCAACGTTGACTTGGCCAAGTTAAGGCCATTTGTTTGTTGCTTTCCCTCCAGGCATTGACATTTTATTTTTGCCCACACAAAAACTGATTTATTGCCGCCATTGACAAGTCAGCCAGCCAGTCAGTCAGTTAGTCAGTTAGTCAGTCTTTCAGTCTTCCAGTTACATCTCAAGTGCGGAAAATGGCAAGGTGGAAAGCGGGAAAACCTTTGAGGTGGGCTCACTTTATTGGCCCAATTGCATGCTTACCTTTGAACGGCGAGGGCCAGAGTTAGCCAAACGGAGATGGTGTGGCACATGGCTGGCATTATCTGTAACAAAAATGCGGCAAAAGATATAGTAAGTATGGGTACAAATGACTGAAAGTGGGGATTTGCGGTGGGATTAGTGGGAGCAGCTGAAATTAGACGGTTGTGTGATTCTAGCCTACTTTCGGGCATGCTGCTTCCTCATTTTACTTGACTTTTGATTTTATTAAAGATATTACATTGCATTTCATGCAATTTCCATTCACTTCAAATTTAATTTCGTATGTAAGCCGCTCACAACCCTTTTATATTAGGCCATTAAAAAGAAGAAATCTCTTAATGTCCATCATACGAGCAAATACCCCTGAGAATTGGCAAAGATATATGTCTGCGATAGGTAAGTAAATCACCATTTGGCCCAAGAGCCCTGAAATACATTCCTTAGCCTGTCTGCCAAATCGGATTTGTGGCTCTCAACTGCATTAGCCGGCAGTAAGACGGAATGGAATGGAAGGAAATGGCGTGCGGCATCTGAAATCCTGGTAACTGGTAGCTGGTAACTGGCAAATGGTAGCTGGCAAATGGCCACCTGGACAGGTGTCTGCTCCATTTATGGACCATTATGAGTGCGGCTCTGCGGCAGACAGGCGCTCCATGGGCGAGATTCTGTGGGCCTGACATCAGACTCCTGGCCATATAATGCACAATCTGTGGCCTAATCCGGTTTATGTGTGTGCGTGTGTGTGTCTGACTGGGCTGCAATTACAGGGACATGGCCTGATAAACTCGCCTGGATATTTTACAATGAAACGGTTACCCCCTTTTCACATTAACATGGTCATTATGCGCACCACTCGCAATGGAAACTCAGAATGGAGACGGGCTGGACGAACAGGACGTGCTGCCGGCGAGCATATAAATTTGGGGTAAATGAAAAGGAATCTTCAACTTTGAGACTGCAATGGCCGCCTGGTGGTTATTACCAAAACGGGGAGTGCCGCTCGCCGAATGTGAGTTGAATTTTATGGCAGTCATACGCAGAGATAGTCTCGTTGTCATTGGAACTTGCCAACCCCCACAATCCTGGGCCCCCGTCCCTAGGAATCCATCTAGACATCCAGCCCAGCATGGAATTTAGCTGCTACAAATCCCCGGAGAGTCCACTAACGGCACGTAGTTACAATGAGCCACGACAGTGGGGCAAAAGCGCTTGGCAAACAGTCAAAATCCAAGTGCAACTTATTGTTGCCAACCGCCAATCTTTGGCTTTGCTTTTTAGTTGGGTAAGAAACTAGATCCTTTTTTGTTTTTTTTTCTAAGTTTCTAGCACTGGTGATTCTTTTATTTCTATTTAAGCAGAATTGGTTATTCAAATGGTGTTCACATCTGCGAGGCACAGGTTTTAGCTACCTTCTCCTGCAAATCCCACTCAGAAATGGTTTAATGCCGTTCAGCAACCGGGCATTTCCTTAGCCTTCCTCTGTGGATCACCATGCCTCTGGCTTTGCCAGGGGCAGAGGGCTTATGCTTATGGCCAAAAGGAGGGGTGGGCATTTTATCAGCTTGACACTACTCCATTGAAGTGAGTAAACAGTTTTGCTTTGCCAACCCCCAGAACCGAAGAAGCCCAGAACCCCAGAAGCCCCATTCCGCGCCCTTCGAGTGCCATAAATTGAAAATGTTGATTAATCAAGGCAAACGTGCAAAGGGCAGGAAAAGCTGGGAAATCCTGGAGTTTGCATGGTAATGGTGGAAAAACGCTCTCGAATGAATAAGTGCTGTGAACGGCTGAGAATGAATGGGTGGATGTGGATGTGGATGCGGATGCGGATGTGAATGTGGATGGGGTTGGGTGATTCCCTGGATTCTACGGATTGTGCGGATTCCCCGGCTTCAGGGGCAGCAGGTGGCAAATGGCAAGTGGCAAGTGGCACTAGCAGCGTTTTTCATTCTTTCATTATGCTGACAGAAATGACACACATAAAAGGGAAAATCACGGAAAATGGGCTAAATGTAACGTGGCAGCAAATGCGATAACGATAACGATAACGCGACGGGATCCAAAACAAAGCGTCGTACATCAGTCGAAGACAAAAGGAAAGAGAGGGGCAATTGGTTCGAGAAAGAGACGGGCACAAAAAGTTCCAGTCGAGCATTTTATTTAGGTCAATGAGCGTCGCGTCTTCCCTGAAAATGGGAAAATGAGGAAAATGGGGAAAATGGGCAAAACGTTTTGGGTTGAGAGGTGGAAACGTGGCCAGCAGCCAAAACAAACAGTTTTTCGCTCCTCCCGCTTTTTTGGCCCAGCCCCGGCAATTAGTTTGTGTCAAGAAAATACAGCCCACACTCACAAAAATATACACACTGCATACATATCTTTCTCAGCAAAGGAAAATTTATAATAGTTGGCCCACATAATCCTTACTAATTCAGTTGCCAAACAATGCTGTCTAACAGTATTTTATGCGGATTCGTTAACCCCTTCACGTAATGCTTGTCCTAAGTCAGTAACATTTTTGCTGAGTGCAGCAGAAGGTGCCCACTGGATGTCTGGATGTCTGGATGTCTGGAGCCTTTGTGGACTTACCTCATTGAAAATGCTGTAGGCCAGACACATGGAGACCGGATGCAGGGGCTTATAATGATTGCCGAATGTGTACATATACCAGAGACCCGGTGCCGGAAAGATAACCGTCAGCATATCGCATATGGCCATTCCTGCAGGCAAAGAGAAAGAGAATATCGAAATTGGAAATTAGATATTAGGAATAATGGTAATGCTTATGCAAATACAGCCCGATTTTCAATGTAAACTGACTGTGTGATTGGGCATTACGGATGTGACATTAGTGATGTACAAATTTGGTCGCATCTGCAATCCGATAATCGAATCGCTGCTCAATTATTTACGGATTCCTATGCCAAATGGGGTAAATTGGCTGTTGACTCTGCCGGAGTTCATGGTTCATTGGTGGGCAAACATTGATCCACAGTTGTGCCGTTTGATTGCAAATTAATTAAAATGCGAGCGCACTGAAACAAGTTATTTATTTGCCCTTTAAATAAACTGCTCACACAATATTTGGTAATTTATCTAACAGGCACACCGTACTAGCTCGCATTAACAAATTATGTTTATTAAATCATACTCATAGCAACTCAATTGGCAACACACCAACTACCAACTAGTCGACATTTGTAGTTTCCAGCCCTTTCTCGGCCCAGTGACATTTGAACTGGTGACACACCCTGGTGACCTGACCTTTGGCCGCCCATTGGCATGCCAGTCCTCTGTGGCCGTCTGCTTACAGAGAGCGAGCCAATTGCAACCCTTTCTCAAATCATTTCCCCAACACTTCGAATTAGATGGCAGCAAAGTGCTGCTTCAGATATGATACCTTCATCGAAAGATGAACAGTTGTTTCAGGTGAGTTTGCCGACTTGAGTGCGACTTGATGGATTAACTAATGCAAGTATATTGGCCGCAGAATAAACATGAGTTCTTGGCCAAAACCAATGGCAAATTTCGCCTTGCGATTCGGCCATTTCTGTTGCGGTTGCCGCTGCTGCAGGCCAGAGTTCATTTCACGTTTGGTCCGCTGTCACTTGAACCGAATGCGATTAGCCTTGGCCTGCTCTTGACACCCGTGGGTGGTAGGTGGCTATGGCTTTTAGTGGGTGGTAATGGGCGCTTGTGCTTGGTGGTTGTTGGTCGACCCCCAACCCATTGATAGCCGAAATGCTCGAGAGCATCATTTTGAAGTCTAGCTCTTCGGGCAGTGAATCAAATGCCTCGGCCCGGTTTACACAGCCCTTCAGCCATCCTAAGGGATCTTCCTTTCGAGCGCTTTCAAGCAAGAGTGCGAGTTTAAGCTGCCCCAGCGCAGCCGTGTTAGCCATGTTCAAATCCCACTATGAGCCAGGCGGCAGGCCATTAGCATTACACACGCTATTGGAATATCTCAGCATTACGCGATACATGCGACGGGCGGTGGGAGGGGATTGGGGGGACATGGATGCGGAAGGAGCTCTGGGGAGCACGCACAGCGCCAGCTATTTGAAATCTCACAAAACTTCTGCCTGATTTAACATTGTGGCACATTAGGCGGCAAAGGGGCGATGTGCGAGGCTGCGGCATGAAATGACATGGAATAAAAATAAATAATAATCATAAATGGCGGCGTTTGCAAGAGGGGGCATTCAAAATGGGCCTAATCGGAGGTGGGCCTAATCGCGGACTCAACACTGTGAATTATTTCACAAAATTTGCTAGCTGCTTGCAAAACAAGCGGGCATAACAATTATATATTCGGAGTCCTTGAACGGAGTGAGTTCATTTGGCTGGCGCAGTAAGCCCTCGATATGTGACTCACCCATCAGCACGAAGTTGGTGGGCGTGGCCATGCTCTTCTTGCTCAGCACGAGCACGATCAGGGAGTTCGAGATGATGGTGATGATCAGCAGGAAGGGCATGCAGTAGCCGTATAGCGGCATGGCGTACTCCAATGGCGAGTCGCAGGTGAGATTCCAGTAGCTGATGTTGTTGTCCTCCATGCGGCAGGAGCCGCCGGCCATCTGCTGATAGTTGGGATAGTCCAGGCTCTCGTTCCCGTAGTCGGGAATCTCCAGCTGCGACTCGTTGGTGGGCAGATGGAAGCCGCGGCCCAGCTGCCGGGGATCTGTCAGATCCACTTCCATTTCCGGGCTGGCGGACGGGGCCAAGCGGTACTGGTACAGTGCGTCCGTGTAGTTGTCCATCTCGTGGGCGATGGTTTCTCGACAGGATTCCCCTGGCGCTCCTAGTTCTCAGGTGCGGCTGGCAAATCTGGCATTTTTCGCGATCAATATGGTGGCGCTAGTGGTCCTGCTCCTCAATAGGAATGCATTCTGCAAGGAAAAGTTAATGTAAAATTATTAATTTAATTATATGGCTTACATAGCTCACTATATCCCTCAATATCTTATATATATCTTATATCTGATTGGCAGAAAACCCAGTCACTGAGCAGCTGGCTCATAAAAACTTGAAAGTTTTAATGTTTACTGGTTGAGCAAAAGGAATTTGCATTTTATATCTTGTTTCGCATTCTGCTTCAAGCCAACTACTTTCATTTCATCACTTATCTCAAGTTTGGGTTCGTGCAAGTGGTGTATAGTTTAAGCAATATAGAACGGGCATAATTATAATAGCAGTTTCGGTTTTGGCTTATTTCAGCTGCAACACATAGAATTACAATTGCAAAGTTCTTCCGCTGATTTGTTTGTTCCGGCTGGTAAGTCTGCGCAAAACTTTCGGCATTGTCCGCAAAATTGTAAAAGAAAAATGGCATCGAAAGACCCAAAACGCTTCCGTTTGGGAAATAATTCAAACAAAAGGAGCAACTTTCATTTGTCTGAGCGATTTCGATTTGCTAAAAGGTTTGGAGGCCAGCAATTGTTTGTTGGCAGCTGAGTGGAATATTCAAAACGGCTATGATTCATTTAGTTATTCCAAAAGCGTTTCATATTTTGAACTGTGCGCCCTGGGGAAATGCAAGCCAAATGGCTATCTGTAGCTATTTGATTGAATAGTTTCCATTCGGCCATCGTAGTTGTATTGAATTCATTTATGAACCCAAAACGTGATGGCATTTATGAACTTTAAGTTGAAGAACTATTTATTAAATAGCCCGAAACTGCGGACCGTAAAAATTATAAAAGATGTGGTAACTTTTTGGCCTTTTCGGTCTGCGTCCTCTTGGCCATGATCTCAAAAGCCAACTAATAACAGAGCATTCCACATGTTTATGTCATGTTTATGCTGCCTTTTTAATGGGTTTATTTTTCGCATTGGCAAAGCGAGAACTTTGCCAATATTTTCGACTTGCCGCTTGCTATTCTCCACTTCTTTTTGTCATGGCCACATTGACCCACATAAGCGCAGGAAGAAGAACGGCCCTGGGGGTCAGAGGTCAGGGGTTGTCTCCCAAGAAGAAAATTGAATGTGACCGAGCGACCGAAAAACTCATTCATTCGGCATGTTCTACATGTCTAATGCGATTTAACTGGGCCATTTGAAGACGGAGAGCCAGGAAAGCGGGGAAAGTTGTAGATAAAAATTCGGAAATTGGATTAACAACTTTCGCTTGTTACGGGCCATAATACAGGCCAATGATAATTTATTAACAGTGCCTGAAATAGCACTGCTGCACTTCGATGGCCGTTAGAGAAGAAATCAATAAATGCGTAATAAAAAATATAGCAAAAAACAAACAGCTAAAATACAATTCGCATTTGGCATTAATCATTAAAGCAAACATTTCTTGTTGCACTCACAAACGGATTTGCAAACTTAATTTATGCACAGTGCTGGATCTGCAGTTTATTTCTTTTAGATTAAATTGTTGAGCTCATCAATAATGCGAGCACAATGCGATTGGACACAATTGAATGTATTATTAAATTAGTTCCGGCTATTTTGACGCGGATTGCTGGCCATTAAAAAAGGATCGCAGCATGCGGAAAAGCGGAAAATCGGAAAATCGGGGAACAGCCAAACGGAATAATCAACTGCCATTGATTGTTGGCTGCCAATCAGTGCAAAATCGAATGTCGCGGGAAAATGCAAAATGCAATCAAGGCGTCAGGCGCTGTGAGGAAAGCGCAAAACGCGACCAAAAGGGAAATCTCGGGAAAATACCAGGGGAAAACGACGTCAGTTGCAGCCAAACAGCCAAACAGCCAAACCGCAACGGAAATAACTCAAATCCCAGTGCATCTACACTCGTTAACCCACTGGCACGCCGAGTCCTTTTAATTAGCCCTGGAAAAGCTCACTCCGACTCGAAAGGGAAAGCCCGCCGGGAAATTCCACTCCACTCCGTGCCGGACTGTCAGCCATCCGTCACTTTTCATTTGCCACAAGGCTCTACTTCTCCGCACAGGCAAAAGTTGCCAGCTGGCTTCTGCTTGCACTTAAAGATATTTATAAGCAAGCAGGTAACATTAAAAGGTCATATTTACATATGGCCAAGCCAAATAGTTTTGGATTGAAAGGGCAAACAGACAAGTTTTCCCCCGCAAGCCAACTGATGCAGATGAATGGTCGAAAGGCGTCTAATGTGTCCGTAATCCCTTCGAGCTGAAGCCGATCTGTCAACTGTATTTATGTTGGCCGGTATTAAGTGGGATTTTGCCGGGCTTCATCTCCATTTCCACTGCAATGATACGTGCCCAGCACTGCTGGTCAAATCCGAAACTGAAGTCACTCGAGTTCGCAGATGGCGTCCGTTTAATTAACTTAGGTGTTGCATATCGATTTCCTCGGCGGCGGCTCACTAATTATGCTCTCGCCAAGGCTTTTCTTTCGGCACACGCTCTGATCTATTTTCCATCTTGTGCTGCTCCACACCAAGCGCTTTTCCGCCCCCCGCCCATCGCTTTTCACACAGACATTAGCCGCCATCTTTGATCCATTACTACGTGAGCGAGGAAAAGGCGAGAAGACGGTGATGGAAAACTTTAAGTGGGACAACGCAGATGCGAATCTTACTTGCAAACAACACGTGCACACTTCCGAATGCACTGGCAGAAATTCGCCATAGCATGCGGACAAAAGATATACCGGAATACACAACATTGTTGGCTCAAATACTGAACATTTTCTCGCCGTGTACACACGTACACTCGGTTGCACGCTCACACACTTATGCATAGTCAAGTCATCATCATAAAGCGATTAGTGGAACTAAAACTGCCATCAAAATGCCTCTGTCTCCCTCCCCCTCCCCCTCTCTATCTCTCTCTCTGTCTCTCTCGCCCTGGGTAGCCTTGTCTCTTTCCTGCCCTGAGACCTGGACACTTCTGCCCAAATGAATTTCCAATATATACTATAGTTTCGCCCACAAGGAGCTGCCTTCAATGGCATCAATTGGGCATTACCTGCGAGCTGCGATGCGAAGAGCACTCAAGCTGTTTACCAGTTTGCGGCTAACTGATTCCGTTGAGGAAAAGCTTTCCGGGAAATCGTTTTTTATAGTGTTGTAGTACAAAGTTAGGAGGCGCATGAATTTAGGGTCGATGAAATGGCGTCGCGTTACGAAAAAGTGCGAATTGCAAGGTCGAACTGAAGACATGCAGCGCTGTTTGGTGCCATTTTGGCACCATTTTCCGCAGCCCGGCCACGCCCACTCTGCCTGTGTGCCGCCCCCGCCCACAAGACCTGCTCCTGCGGGGCCCAAAAGCAGTGGCACCGAAAAATCGATCAAATAGAACGATGTCGTCGGAAAATCGGCAGGAGCATGGGCACGGATGCTTTGCTTTTGGTAGATGAACTTAATTGTACTTTTTAGCCGGGCAAAAAGAAAAAACACACAGAACAGAACAGGGGAAAGCCGGGGAAAAAAGAGCAGAAAAAATGGAATTCCCCCAAAGGCCAGAATGGCGGAGCGTGGGAAAATTGGGGCGTGGGCAAAAGTGGGCATGGTCGTCGCCCCAGGACAAGATGAATGAACGAGATGGAAGCCCTCGCCTTCGAATGGCTTAAGTAATTTTCCATTTTCCATTTAGGCGACTCTCTTGGCATTTTTGTCTCTTGCCCTTAATTTTTTTAATGTTTGCTTTCCATGGCTTATTTCTTTTGTTTTTTATTTTTGGTGGGCGGTGCTCTTTGCCGGCATCCATTTAATGTTGTGTCTGTTTTGCAATGCAATGAATAAATTTTACAGCCAACAGGCATATGGAAAACCACATCGTTTCTGCTGCAGCGACAGCAATCTGCAGATCCCAATGATTATAAACAATGTTCCTAGCTGCAGAACTTTTCGAATGAATACGATAAACTTTTTAGAGTTTGCTTGCCGCCCCCATAGAACTGCACGCAAATTGCATTTAATATCAGTGCTACTCTAGTTATTTGCACGCCAACTTTTTAGACTTAATCATTTGAATTTGTTTGGGGTATAAGAACTTCTGCTTTTCCACTCCGTGACTGAATTTTCCACCCCCACCCGCTTTTCCGCGGGCATGCAAAATGTGATAAAGCAGTCCACTGCGCCGAATGGCACAGCAAGAAAAAATAAACTTCTCAGACATGTTAAATTAGTATTTCACATACGCCTTTGCCCAGTCCCGAATTCGTCGCCAAATTTGCCAACGATTTTGCACGGCTTTTCCAAGAAGCGCTTAAAGCGTTTAGAGTTTACTTGCCTAATCGCCAAGGCGAAACTTTTTCGATTTGGGAATTAAAATAAAAAGGCATCAGCAATAATAGCTAAATGGCCTCTGGCCAGGGAGGATTTACTCTAGCCCCCTCCACAGCGAATTTTCCGACACCCCGCCACCAAATTTTCCAGCTCCCTCCGGCGATCCTCGAGTCGAAACTTTTCCCGGCCACTCTGCACGCATCGCTGAGGCTTTTCCCCGCCACTCTCGACTTTAATGGGCACGGCCATAACGTATGTATGCCCCGACCCCGCCCACCGCCCCATTGCTTTCGGGAAAAGCCGCCTAGATAAGTGATAAGCCGCCACACACAAATTGGCAGCACCTTGCGTGTCTGGGGCGCATAAAAAGGATTAGATGTCTGCCTCGACATGACAGGCGTGCCAAAAAACAAAAAAAACAAAAAAAATGGCAGCCGAACGGAGAAAATCTCAATCTGAATCGGGAACTCCGCTTTATTGGAGCCCGCCACTCGCACACTTTACAGCCACAGCTCACTTTCCACAGGGAAAAGCTGCCGCGGAGCAGATTACGCGGCATTAACTGATTAATTTATCACAGGCACTTCAGATTTGTGCTCTGCAGTGGCTTAGTATTATTATCCGAGATTATTACTTTCTACAAAATCGAATATCTGCTTCTATGCCGTGCTAATAGCAGTAGCAATAGCTCTGTGTAACATTGGT